GTCGTCGCCGCCGCGCCCGGCGCGGCCGCGGCCGCGCTCGCCGCGGCGCTCGCGGCGCTCGCGGGCCCCGCGGCGGCGGCCGACGCGGCGCCGCGCGCGCTCGCGCGCGCCGCGCCGGCGCCGTCGCTCGCCTTCGGCCAGCGGCCGGCCCGCGCCGCGGCCGGCGTCTACGTCATGGACAGCCCCACGTCGTCCCTGGCCGAGATGACGGCCGCGCTCGTCGCGGCGCACGCCGACGTCGTCGTCTGCGTCGCGGCGACGCCGGACGGCATGCTCGCCGCGCACGGCCACGCGTTCGTGCCCGTGGTCCGCGCGGCCGCCGCGGGCGGCCCCGCCGCGGCCCACGCGGACGTCGTCTGCGACGACCCCGGCGCGGTCGACGCGCTCCTCGACGGCGTCGCGCGCGGCGACGACCCGCGCGCGCTCAAGGCGGCGGCCTTCGTGTCGTTCCAGGTCGCGCGCGGCGCCACGGGCGTGAGCGCGTAACTGGTCCGCGGGCCCGGGAGCCCGGGGGCGACGCCGCGCGTCGAACATACATTAGTTGGGCGGGCGGCGCGGCGCCGCCGGGATCCGGGCCGGGCTAGAGGGCCGGGCGGCGCGGGTCCGAAGGGAGCGGTCCTCGAGCGCCGCGGTCAGCCGACGATGAGGCTCGGGAGCGCGTCGGCGATGTCCCCGACGCGCGGCGCGGCGGCCTCGTCGGCCGCGGCGGGCGCCTTGGCGGGCCGCAGCGCGCGGCGCGTCGTGTTCGGCGTCTCGCCGTAGGCGCGGCGGCGCCCCGTCGGGCGCGCGTCCGCGGGGAGGAGGCCCGCGATCGCCGGCGCGTCGTCGTAGGTGAGCCGCAGGAACTTGCGGCCGCCGGAGGGGCTGTCGCCTACCAAGTGCGACGGGGTCGGATTTCCTCACATCTTCGGGCGAAATTCACGCGAAAAAACACTCCCGTCGCTCGACGCTGGCTGTCGCGGAGGAGCCCGAAGACGGGCGCCCCGCAGACGTCGGCGACGGTCGCGCGCCGCGCCGGGTCGATCTGGACGAGCTGCTCGAGGAGCGCGGCCATGGGCTCGGAGGGCGGGCCCGCGGCGGCGCCGAGCTTGACGCGCGCCGCCGCGCGGCGGACGCCGTCGAGGAACTTCTCCGGGTCGTTGAGCTCCTCGTAGGGCGGGCACCACGCGGCCTCGAAGGCCCGGTGGCCGAGGAGCAGCTCGACGAGCACGGCGCCGAGGCTCCAGGCGTCGGCCCCGCGCCCGCAGTAGGACTCGGCCGTCATGAGCTCCGGCGCGAAGAAGCCCGGCGACCCCACGAAGTCCGTGAGCCGCGGGTCGCCGGCGACGTCCGCGCAGAGCCCGAAATCGCAGAGCTTCACGACTCCCTCGGCGTCGCCCCACGTCGCCGGGTCGCCCACGACGAGCACGTTCTCGGGCTTGACGTCGCGGTGGGCGACCCCGGCGTTGTGGCAGTGGCGCAGCGCGAGCGCGAGGATGCGCATGACCGCGCAGACCGTGCCGTCGTCGCAGCCGCGCGGGTAGCCGTCGAGGAACGCGAAGAGGTCGCGGTCGCCGGCCTCCATGACCAGGTACACGTAGGTCGGCGAGTGGACGACGCCGTAGAGGCGGCAGACGCCCGCGTGGCGCAGGCGCTGCAGCGCCGCGACCTCGCGGTCCACGCGCGCGATGTTGCGTTTCGCCTTGAGCAGGGACGCGTGGCGCTCGACCCTCGCCTACGAAGCGCGTCGGCGACGATCGTTCGTCGTTTCCCCGGCCGAAAGCTCTCGAAAGTCGCCGCGGCCGCGGGACGCCGACCCTCGCCTTCTTGATCGCCTTCATCGCCAGGCGCTCGCCGGGCCGGGCCGCGGATCGCGCCTCCCAGACGCTCGCGAATTCGCCCTCGCCGATGACCTCGAGGACCTCGTAGGCGCCGATCTGCACGCGCCCGTCGCCGAGGGCCCGCTCGACGACGTTTGGGTCCTCGGGCGGCAGCGCCTTTTGCAGGGCCCACGTCGACGCCATGGTCGCCGCCATGTCGGACGAGGCGGCGACGATGTGGCTGACAGCTGGGGCTGCTTAGGATTGGGGAGTCATCTTGAAAAGTTTCGGCATCATATCGTATCCTCGCCGTCGTGGTCAACTTTGGCCCTCGATGTCATCGTTCAACCCGGCCGCATTGGCTGGCAGAGGAAGGCGGACGACGCGTCGGCCCGATGGACGGCGCCTGGCGCCATCCCTACGGCCCCGGCGCCTACGCGCTGCCCGACGCGCGGCGCGAGGCACCGCCGCCGGAACGGCTGCCGCCGGAGCCCGAATTCATGACGCTGGCCTGCCCGGGGAACGCGACGGGGGGCAGCCCGGTCCAGCGTCCGGCATCGAGGCGCCCGCGGAGCCTCCGGAGCCTCCGCGGGCGCCGCTTCCCGACGTCGACGGGCGGCGTCGGCGCCTCGGCGCCCGCGTCGTCCGGCGCCTCCGGGGGATCGCGACCGCCGCGCGCGCGCAGGCCACGTCATCGTCCAGGCGTCGGACGGCCAGCAGCTCCGGGTCATCGTGCCCGACGGCGTCCGCCCGGGCATGGAGTTCCGCGTGCCCGTGCCGCCGCCGCTGCCGCCGCCGCGCCCGCCGTCGCCGCCGCGGCCGGCCTACGGCGGCTACATCTACGACACGATCCCGCCGTCCTCGCGCTACATGTTCCCGCCGCCGCACTACGACGACTACTACGGCCACTACCACCACGCCGCGCCGCGCCACGCGCGGTGTGGATTCAATATTTGTCGCGCGTCGAACGCGTCGCGCACGGCGCGCGCCGAAGTCGGGCCGGAGACGCGGAATCCGCGCAGGCCACGCGCCGTACCCGCCGCGCTACTACGCGGACGACGGCCCGCCGCGCTACGAGCCGTACCCGCCGCGGTGCGCCCCCGCCCCCGCCCCCGCCGCCGCCGCCGGCCACGACGCGGCGCGCAGGTACGGCTACGCCGGCGACGCCTACGGCGCCTACGACCGGCCGCCGCCGGAGCTCTACGCCGCGCGGCCGCGGCCCGGCGGCGGCCACCACGCCCGCGGCTCCGGCCCCATGGTGATCTGAGCGCGACGGCACTTTCTGTTTTGATCTGATTGTATGTTTTTAAACGGGATTTTTTGTTTCTCGCGCCCGCGTCGACCCGCCGGACCCGGGCGCGCGCCGCCCGACGCCCCCCGGCGGCGGGCACGGTCGCTGAGGCACCATCGCCCGGGCGACGCCCGGCGTGCGCGCCGCGGCCCTTCGCCCTCGGTCAGGCGAGGGACGCTCGGGAGCTCTCGGAGTTGGAGCTTCCGGATGGGGGAAACTTCAGGTGCAACGAGGTGCAACGTCGTCACGGGTTGGGCTGCCCGGCGAGCCTCTTATGGGAGGACGCAAGAAGGTAGGGAAGGGCCGTCCCGCGCGGACGCCGCCCGCGCCGCCGCCGCCACCGACGGCAAAGGGCCGTCCCGCGCGGACGCCGCCCGCGCCGCCGCCGCCACCGACGGCAAAGGGCCGCGCCGCGCGGACGCCACCCGCGCCGCCGCCGCCGCCGCCGTCGTCCGGCGCGGCCCGCGCGGCGGCGCTCCTGGCGCACTACCCCGAGGACGAGCGGCGCTTCCTCGAGACCATCGCCTACGCCCTGCCGGCGGCGGCCTCCGGCCGGGCCGCCCGCGAGGCGGCGGCGGCCCACGCGCGGCGCTGCCTCGAGCGCTTCCAGTGCTGCGTGTTCCACGACGCGCTCGCCGAACGCGACGTCGCCGCGCTGCTCGGCGAGTGCGCGGCCCACGAGAAGGTGTCGGCCATCGGCGAGCGGGAGGCGGCGAAGCGGTCCGGCACGCGCCTCTTCAACTGCCCCTGCCAGCGGGGCCCGTCGTGCGCGTTCGACGGCTGGCGGTCCGACGTCGCGCGGGCCGTCGTGGCCGCGGCGGCGCCGTGGCGCGACGTCGTCGCGGCGCTCGGCTTCGGCCACGTCGCGCGCGTCGAGGTCGTCACGTCCCACGCCGGGTGCCGCCACCAGGGCTGGCACGTCGACGGCGCGCGCGGCGTCACGGCGCTCTTCGCGCTCGTCGACGTCGACGCGCGGCGCGGCCCGACGGAGCTCGACTTCGCCGCGCCCTTCGGCGACGTCGCGACGGGCGCCAAGGTCAAGGGCGGCGTGCCCGGCGCGCCCAAACGGGTCTTCGCGGGCGCGCTGCCCCGGGGGTCGCTCCTGCTCTTCAACGCGAACGTGTCCCACCGCGGCACGGCGAACCTGAGCCGGGGCGACCGCCCCGTGCTCGTCCTCGACTGCTCCCCGCCCTGCGGCGCGTCCGACGCGGGGTTCCTCGGCGCGGGCGCGTCTTAGGACTGGTGGTGGACCGTGCAGTCCGCGCGGCACCGCTTCGCGTCCCGCACGGAGGCGACGACGTCGCCGTCGGCCGTGAAGAGGGCCTGCATGTCGCCGATGACGCCCATGAGCGAGCTCAGGTCCGTCCAGTAGTCGGAGCCGACGCCGTTGCGGAGGCACGAGTCCACGTCGCGCTTCTCGGCCTCGATGGCGCAGATGCACGTCGCGCCGCAGTCGTCGTCCCAGGACTCGAAGGTGCAGGGCGAGCCCATGCACGACGCCTTGACGTCGCCGTCGGACGTCGCCGACGCGTTCAGCGCGGACGCCGACGCGTCCGCGCCGCCGGACGCCGCGAGCCGGCGGCCCTCGTCTAAACTCACGGACCCGTGGGACGTGCCGTAGGACGTCGAGTAGAGCGTCCCGTCGTCCATGGCGTCGCAGATGAGCCGCGTCGCCTCGTCGTCGTCGCCGTCGACGACGGCCATGACCGCGCGGCGGAACGCGACGGACTCGAGCAGGATGCCCGTCGTCCACGAGAGCTTGAACTTCACCGTGCGGTCCCGGTAGATCTTGCAGCCGCAGGCCGCCGTGTCCGTCGAGAGGACGTCGCAGGACGCGGACCCGCAGTACGCGAAGGTCTGCTTGTGGCAGATGAGCTCCTTGGAGATGCCTTTGTCGATCAGGAGCTTGGCGACTTTCGCCTTGTCCGCGACCTCCAGGGCCTCGAGGGCGACGGGGGAACCCCGGTCCGACGGGAGCGTCGACGCGAGGAGCAACGCGGCGCAGACGACGGCCGCGACCAGGGCCGCGGCCCGGGCTGCGGCGCCCATGCTGCCGTGGGGATCACTTAAGTCCCTGGATACTTTGAGTGCAACTTGCTGTTCGCGCAAAGCCCGTCCGTCTGGCTCACTTCTCATCGCCCGCTCGGAGCATGGTGCGGTCCAAGGGCGGTGCGAAGCGCAAGCAGCTCGCGGACGGCGGCGCGGCGGGCGACGAGGCGGCCGGCGACGACAAGCGCGTGAAGCGCGGCGAGGCGGCGACGCCCGCGTCCGAGAAGGACGACGACGGCCAGGACCCGCGGCGCGTCTACGCGTCGCGCCTGCCCGAGTCCTGGGGCGACGACGAGCTCCGGAGGAGCTTCGAGGCCTTTGGCGCCGTGGCGAAGGCCTCCGTCGTCCGGGACCACGACGAGCGGCCGCGCGGCTTCGGCTTCGTCGTCTTCGATCGCGAGGCGGGCAAGGCCGCCGCGCTCGCCGCGGGCTACGTCCGGGGCCGGGAGCCGCGGTCGCCCGCCGCGCCGGCCCCGGCGAAGTACGCCGTGAAGATCGCCGACGTCGAGCGCGCGCGGGACGACGTCTGCCACCTCTGGCTCCGGCGGCTCTGCCCCCACGGCGACGCGTGCCGCTTCGACCACCCCGCGGACCGCGGCGGCCCCCGGCCGGCCGGCGGCGAGGCGCTGGCCAAGAAGTGCTTGGAATTCAAGAAGAAGGGCCGGTGCTCCCGGGGCGACGCCTGCCCCTTCCGCCACGTCGCGCGCGCGGCGAGCGGCGAGAACCGGCCGCCGCCGGAGGGCCCCAAGCCGTGCTTCACCTTCGCGAAGAAGGGCAAGTGCCGCAAGGGCGCCGCGTGCAAGTTCGCGCACGTGTAACGCGCGGGCGGTCTCGACGCGCGTCCCGACGGGGCGGCCCTAGCGCGGCCGGCCGCGCGCCTTCGTCGCCGCCGCGGCGGGCGGCTCGTCCGGCTCCGGCCGCAGGAGCAGCGACACCGCGGCGATGCAGTCCTCGAGCGCGACGACGACGTCGAGGCCCGGGTCGCCGGACACGCGCGACCGCTCGAGCGCGTTGTTGACGATGCTCGGCGCGCCCGGGACGACGTAGACGAGCCCCGTCGCGGAGAGCGCCGTGACGGCCGTCGCCGTCGCCGCGCCCGCCGCCGGGCTCCGCCGGACCTCCGCGGCCGCGAGCACGCGCGACAGCGCGGCCGCGGCGCGCGACAGCTGCTCGCGCGGGACGTAGGGGTCCTCGGCGGCGTCGACGAGCGCCTGCCCGTCGAGGCGGATCGTCCGCTCGGACACGTCGGCGTCGCGCAGCGCGTCGAGGACCGCGGCGGCGTCGCCCGCGTCCGCGTCGCGCCGCGCCGCGCGCAGCGCCGCCAGCGTCGCGCCGAGCCGTTCGCGCGCGAGCGCCGCGTTCCGCTCGACCTGCTCCGGGTCCGGCCGCTCGGGCTTCGTATAGATCAACGATCCCGTCTCCCAAAACTGGCCCTTGAGGTTCAGAGGATTGTAGGGCTTCTCCGCCAGCGCCGGCGCCGCGCCGAAGCCGGCGGCCGTCGCCGCGTACCGGAGGGCAGCACGGCGAGTGGCGGCGGCCGCCAGCGCCGGCGCCGTAGCATGCCGTGCACGGCGAGTGGCGCATCGATGCGCCGACGCGACGCAGCAGGCGAGGAGCACGGCGGCAGCTCTCCGCGTCGCCATCAGCCTCTCGAGATTGTGCCCCGCGCCGTTCATCGACGCCTTCAACGTCGCCCGGGGCGCCCGGGCCGAGGACGACACACGAGCGCTTAGGGCCCCTCACAGGACGACGGAGCTGCGGTGGTGGTCGTCGAGCGTGCCGCGGAGGACCCAGGCCGGGTCGAAGCAGCCCTCGACGCCCACGCGGAAGTCGAGGCTCGCGCGCGTGCAGGCCGACGGGTTCGGCGGGACCCGGTGGCGGCAGAGCGTGCCGTGGAAGACGGCGACCTCGCCCGGCCTCGGCGCGAGGGCGTGGAAGTCGCCGCGGCCCGGCGCGGACTCGGCCTCGAGCGTCGTCCGCGTCTCGGCGACGTCCGTGAGCGGCAGCCAGAAGTTGAGCTCGCCCGGCTGGTGGCCGTAGCGGGCGTCGTCGTGGCAGGCGACGAAGCGCTCGCTCGGGCCGGGCTGGAGCCGGAGCGTCGGCGGCCGCTGGTAGTAGAACGTCGTCGGCGCCGCGTAGGCTCCGTCGGCCGCGGCGAGCCGCGCCTTCACGTGGGGCAGCGCCCAGCCGACGACGAAGCGCTCGAAGGCCGCGAGGAAGGCGGCGTCGGCGAGCACGGCGTCCGTGAGCCCCGCCTGCTTGTCCTTGTGGTGCCACGCGTCCTCGGACATCGCAAAGTCCTCGAGCCGCGGGCGCGCGGCGTCGCGGAAGCGCCCCAGGCCCTCCACGCCGGCGACGAGGGCCGTGACCCGGCCGCGCAGGTCGTGGGCGGCGGCGTCGTAGGGCACGATGCGCTCGACGAGGAGCTCGGGCGGCAGGGCGCGCCACGTGTCGGGCTGCGACGCGTTGGGCCGGCCGCGCGAGTACTTCGTGCGGTGCAGCGAGCTCCGCACGACCATCGGAGAACGGCGCGGGCGGCGCGCCCAAGAGTGTGGCGGTCAGGGCGGCGGATCGAGTCGGGATGCGGCATCGCCTCCCTGCCCTCAACGTATTGATGGTGCCCTTCACTATCCGTTCCTGGGAAGCCCCTCGACGACATGGCGTGAGGCGCCCCGACCGCCCATGGACCTGCTCGGCGAGGCGGCGCATCTGAGCCGCCTCGAGGGCGCGCTGTCGGAGACGCCCGTGCGCTTCGACGGCCTCGAGGGCCTGCTCGCGCCCGGGAGCGGCGCCGCGGCGACGGCGGGCTCCCTCGTCGTCGTGTGCCATCCGCATCCCCACTACGGCGGGAACATGCACAACAACGTCGTCGCCGCGGTCTGCGGCGGCCTGGCCCGCGCCGGCGTCGCGACGCTGCGCTTCGACCTGCGCCGCGGCGCCGACGACGGGGACGCGCTGCTCGACGCGAACGCGGAGGACGTCGGCGCCGCGCTCGCGTTCGCGCGCGCACGGGGCTACGGCCGCGTCGGGCTCGTCGCCTACTCCTGGAGCACGCTCGCCGCCGCGCGCCACCTCGCCGGCGCGCCCGCGCCCGCGGCCCTCGCGCTCGTCGCGCCGCCGGTCCACGCGGACGGCGCGGGCGCCGCCGCGGCGCCGTTCCTCGACTTCCTCGCGGCGCACCCGGCGCCGTCGCTCCTCTGCCTCGCGGAGTTCGACGAGTACTGCCGCGCCGAGGACCTCGAGGCCTTCGCGGCGTCGCGGTGCCCGCGCGTCACCGTCGCGACGGACGCGCAGGCGGACCACTTCTACCGCGGCCGCGAGGCGCCGCTCGTCCGAACCGTCGCGCGCTTCGTCGAGGCCCAGCTCCAGGCCGCCCGCGAGGCGCCGCCGGCGCCGCCGCCGCGCCTCGCCTACGCCGTCCGCCCGTCGAAGGGCGCGCTCCTGCGGTCGGGCCCGGGCCTCGACAGCCCGCTCGTCGGCGAGGTGCCGCGCGGCGCCGTCGTCGAGGTCGACGGCCGGGCGACGACCGCCGGCGGCGTCCGGCGCTGCCGCATCGTCGCGCCGCGCGGCTGGCTCTCGGAGAAGACGCTCGCGCGCGCGCCGCGGCCCCCGGCGGCGTAGTTCGACTTCTCCCGTGCGAGGCCTAGGTATAGGCCGCATGCGCTCTTGGGTGTGCGGCTCAAATTGCGGCTCAGGAGTCCTCCCACGCCGGCGCTAAAATTTAAATAAACAATTGTAGCAGCGCCGGATCAAGTGCCGGATCCGCCGTCCGCGGGCCGCAGCGGCGGGGGGCAGCCCACGCGCGTCGACGACCGGTGCCATGTGCTGGAACTCGGAGACGTCGGGCGCCTTCACGGCGCTGGGCGTCGCGTCGGCGGGCGCCGTCTGGAGGCTGACGGGCAACCGCGACATGACGAAGGCCATCCTCTTCTTCTGCCTCATGGAGCTGCTCCAGTCGGTCCAGTACTTCTTCATCGCCGAGGACCTCCTCGACGCGAAGTGCGCGGACGCGGCGAACCAGGTCTTGACGGTCCTGGGCTACGTCCACATCCAGTTCCAGCCCTACTTCACGAACCTCTACCTCCGCGCGTTCCGGCCGAGCACGGGCAAGGCGGCGCCGGGCGAGGCGAAACTCTGGGACCTCGTGTCGCGGCTCTGCCTCGCCCAGTGCGCCCTGGGCCTGGCGCGCCTCGCCCTCTCGCCGTCGCTCCTCGACCGGGCCGCCCTGACCGCCACCGAGGAGGCCTTCTACGGCGCGTCGCGGGACTGGCTCGAGGGCCCGCGGCTCTGCACGTACAAGGGCAGCTTCCACCTCGCGTGGGCGCTGCCCCTGGCCCAGCCGACCTACTTCCTCGGCGGCATGGGCCTCCACGCCTTCATGATGTTCGCGCCGGCGCTCTGCATCGGGGGGCTCTCGGAGCTCGACGCCGTCGCGTTCCTCATGGCCTCGGGCCCCGCGCTCGCGATGGCGCTCACGGCGAACGCGCACGAGCAGGCGTCGATCTGGTGCTTCTTCTCCACCACGCAGTGCGCCGTCGGCGCCACGTCCGCCGTCCTCCAGCACCGCGCCGCCGCGCGCGCGGCACCCGCGCCCGAGCGCGCGTCGAAGTGACCCCGCCGGCCCCGGCCGCGCGCGTCGGCCCGCGTAACGCCCCGGCGCCTCGCCGGCGCGACCCGCGAGCGGCGCCCCCGCCGGGAGACGAGACGGCCGTCGCGCGCGCCGCAGGAATCGCCGCGGCGCTCCAAGATCATGATGCCGCGGCGGCTCCACCCCCGGGCGCAGCTTTTGGATCTCCCAGCGGCGGCGTCGTCGGGTTGGCCGCGGGAGCGGTGACAGGTTCGCGTCGTAGGCCGCCGACGTCTGGTTCCCGACGGTCGCGCGCACGACGTGGCCGCCGCCCGTGCCCGTCGCCGTCTCGCAGCTGAGCTTCGTGTGCGCGACGACTGCGCGGTCATGGCCGAGGCGGCGGCGGCGTCGGAGTCGGACGGCGCCGCCGCCGACGAGGAGCCCATCGACCTCGCGAGCCTCGGCATCGGCGACTCGCGTCCCGTGAAGCACGCCGGCCAGGGCCTGTACCGGCTCGTGAAGAACGTGGGCATGGGCGCCGTCGGCGGCGTCGGCACCCTGCTCGCGGCGCCGGTCCTCGGCGCCAAGGAGGGCGGCGCCAAGGGCTTCGCCCAGGGCGTCGGCGCGGGGCTCGTCGGCCTCGTGGCGCTCCCGGTGCTCGGCGTCGCGACGGGCGTCCGGGAGCTCGCGGAGGGCATCTGCGCGACGCCCGCGGCCGTCGAGGCGTCGCAGGACGGCAAGGAGTGGGACGAGGCGGCCGGGGCCTGGGTCCACTACGACCTCGAGGCCGAGCGCGCGGCCGTCGCCGGCGAGGACCCCGAGGCCAAGTTCGCGGACGCGCGGCGCCGGCTCCGGGAGGAGCGGCGCCCCGCGGGCGGCGGCGGCGAGGCGGCGCGCGCCGTCGCCGACGCGGCCTACTACGACCTGCTCGGCGTGCCCACGGACGCGACGGAGGCCGCGATCAAGAAGGCCTACTACAAGCGCGCGCTCAAGCTGCACCCGGACAAGAACGGCGGCGACCCCGCGGCCGCCGCGACGTTCCAGAAGGTCGGCGAGGCCTACCAGGTGCTGTCGAACCCCCAGCTGCGGCGCGCCTACGACGAGGGCGGCGCGGGCGGCCTCGGCGACGTCGACTTCCTCGACCCGTCGACGTTCTTCGCCATGGTCTTCGGGTCCGAGAAGTTCGAGGACTACGTGGGCCGGCTCAAGCTGTCGACCTACGCGGGCGCCGGCGACGACGACATGCCCCCCGAGGAGGCGGCCTTCCGCCAGCGGCAGCGCGAGGTCGACTGCGCGGTGAAACTCGCGGCGCGCCTCGCGCCCTTCGTCGACGGCGACGAGGACGACGCGGCCTTCGCCGCGCGCGCCGCGGGCCTCGCGGGCGACCTCGCGGCGACGACCTTCGGCGCGACGCTCCTCGCGGTCATCGCCTACGTCTACGAGACCGCGGGCGCGAAGCACCGCGGCCGGCGGACGACCGCGCTCGGCCTCGGCGGCCACCTCGTCTCCCTGCGGCAGAAGGCCCACGTCGTCTCGACGAAGCTCGAGACGGCGCGCGACGTCGTCAAGGTCGCCCTCAAGTCGACGGTCGCGCACGCGGCCGAGCGGCGCGCCGCGCGCGGCGGCGGCGGCGCGGGCGCGCGCGGCGCCGCGGACGCGCGCCAGGGCGAGATGATGATGTCCTTCCTCGAGGTCATGTGGCGCATCACCGTCGTCGACGTCGAGGCCACGCTCCGGGCCGCGTGCCACAAGGTCCTCTACGACACGCGCGTCGACGCCGCCGCGCGGCTCCGGCGCGCGTCCGCGCTCCTCCTCCTCGGCGGCGCCTTCGCGCGCGCCGCGGCGGACGCGGACCACGCCGAGACGTGGCAGGAGAGCCTCGCGAAGACCATGCAGCAGGCGCCGCCGCCGGCGGACGCGCCGGCGGACGAGGAGTCCAAGGCGGCGCCCTCCTAAGGCGGCGCGGGCAAGTGCGCGGGCGCGGCGCTCGGGGGGCGGCGCCGGCGGGGGGGGCGAGTCGCCAGGTTCGAAGCCTGCCGTGTACCTGCCGTGCCGGGCGGCTTCCGCGCGGAGCTCACGCGCCGCCGCGCGCGCGCGTCCGGGTTACTCGGGAGCTGCGCGCTAGGAGGCCTGCTAGGCCTCCTGCTAGGCCTCGCGCGCTCAGCGCCGCTGACCCCCGGCCGGGGCCGCGCCGACGCCGCGAACGACGGCAGCCGCGGCCGCGACCTCGACTCGACCTCGACGGCCGCGAACGCGCCGACCATGGCGACGCCCCTCTACAACGTGCCGGACCCGCCGAGCGACGGCGTGTCCTGCGTGTCCTTCAGTGCGTCGAACCCGGACCTGCTGCTCTGCTCGTCCTGGGACACGACGGTGCGCTGCTACGACCTCGGGCGGCCGGCGTCGCCGCTCGTCGCGAGCCTGCCGCAGCCGAGCGCGTGCCTCGCGGCGTGCTTCGCCGGCGGCGACGACCTCGCCGTCGTCGGCTCGGTCGACGGCGCGGTCCGCGCGGTCCGCGTCGACGGCGGCCGCGGCGGCGGGGCCGGGGCCGCGTTCGGGAGCCACGACGCGGGCGTGCGGTGCCTCCGCTACGACGGCGAGGGCGGCGTCGTCTTCAGCGGGTCCTGGGACCGGACCGTCGGGTGCTGGGACCCGCGGAGCGGCCAGCGCGAGGCGACGGCGCAGGTCCCGGGCAAGGTCTTCGCGCTCGACGTCGCGGCCGGGCCGACGCGCGTCGTCGTCGGCACGAGCGACCGCCACGTGCTCGTCTTCGACGCGCGGCGCCTCGACGCGCCGCTCCAGCGCCGCGAGAGCTCGCTCAAGCACCAGACGCGGTGCCTCCGGTGCTTCCCGGGGGGCGACGGCTTCGCCGTGTCGTCCATCGAGGGCCGCGTCGCCGTCGAGTACTTCGCCGACGAGGCCCAGGGCCGCAAGTACGCCTTCAAGTGCCACCGCGTCGGCAAGGTCGTCTACCCGGTCAACGCGCTCGCGTTCCACCCGGCCCACGGCACCTTCGCGACCGGCGGCTCCGACGGCTTCGTGAACCTCTGGGACGGCGCGCACAAGAAGCGCCTCTGCCAGCTGCCCCAGTTCCCGACGTCCGTCGCCGCGCTCGCCTTCAACTGCGACGGCTCCAAGCTCGCCGTCGCGTCGAGCTACTGCTTCGAGGAGGGCGAGAAGGACCACCCGAAGGACGAGATCTACGTCCACGCCGTCCAGCCCCACGAGGTCACGCCCAAGGCCGCGCCGCCGCCGGCCAAAGCCTGAGCCGCACGCGCCTAACGCAAGGAGCGCCCACCCCGGGGCCGGCGGCGGGGCCGGGGCTTACGCGTCGGCGCCGGCCGCCCGCTCGAGCGCGGCGACGCCGCGGCCGACGCGCGCCGCGGGCGCTTTGAGCGCGCGGCCCGCGCGCGCGGCGGGCGCTTTGAGCGCGCGGCCCGCGCGCGCGGCCGGCGCGCGGAGCGCGCGCCCGAGCTCCGCGCGGAGCGGCCGCAGGCCGCCGAGCCCCTCGAGGGCCGGCCTCGGCGGCCTCGAGGACGCGGCCCGCGAGCGCCGACGCGTCGGCGCCGTCGTCCGCGTCGCGCGGGTAGAGGACGACGAGGTCCCCGGAGAAGAGGCCCCGCAGGAACGCCCGGTCCGTGCCCTCGACGGCGAGCCCGCAGAGTCGGTTCGGCAGCTTCTTGAGCGCGAGCCCCCGCGCGCGGCACTCGGCGCGCGCGCGCGTCATCGCCGGCACGTCCGCGCGCGTCAGCGCGCCGACGGCGACGAGGTGCGGCTCGAGGAGCGCGCGGCGCGCGGCGCCGAGCCGCGCGCCCGGACTCGAGCGGCGGCGGGGGGGGGGGGGGGGTCGGTCGCGGCGTCCTCGGAAACGGCGGAAGTTCGATCGTCACGGCAGAGTTGGGTCTATAGTCCAACGCTCGGACGCGACGCATTGGCGTCAACCTCTCGTCACCGGACAGCGGAAACAGGGGGAGGGGCGGGGACGCGGCGCGGCGCGGTGAAGCTGGCGAGCTGGCGGACGCGCCGCGGCGCGCGGCGCTCGTAAGAAGCGGCGGCGGATCGGCGGCGGCGAGCTGAGGCGCTTGCACCACCGCCACCACCACAGCTACAGGCGGCGAGCTTGGACAGCTCCACGGGTGCAGGGTGCAGGGCAAGAACCGCGCGGCGCAGATACCGCGGGAAACGATAGAGCGTTGCCCCGGGCTGCCCGCGGCCCGGCGCCATGATGACGGCGTCGCGGGGCCACACGGCGTCCGGGTCGCTCACGCAGCTGAGCTCCGAGGCGCCGGACATCACGGCCCTCTTCCCCCGCGACGCCTACAGCGACGGCATCGAGCACTGCCAGGAGATCTTGGAGGCGCGCGAGGACTGCAAGGCGCGGCGCGACGGCGGCTTCGTCACGGGCGACGTCGCCATCGTCGACGACAAGGAGCTGCAGGGCCAGGTCGTCGCCGAGCTCGTCGGCCCCGGCGCGCGGCTGACGTTCCAGACGAGAGCGGGCGTGCAGCCGCTGCTCGTCGCCTACGCCAAGTGCCTCGACAAGTTCTTCAGCATCGACGTCAACGTCGTCGACGGCGACGACAACTACTACACCTTCTCCTTTAGCAACCGGCGGTCCGTCGCTGCGCCGGAAACGACCGGCGGCGTGGACGGGTCCGGCGAAACCTCTCGAGCTCGGTCGAATCGAAGTCGACGCGGCCGATGTTTGGACGAATCGGTGGCTCTTGTCGCGTTCTCGACGGACAGCGACATGGTCGTGTCGACATCGTTCGCATACGCGCCCATTGAAGTCGCGTGGCACATGTTCGTCGCCTGCCCAGGTCCATCGTCAAGATCGAGGGCCACCTCGCGGAGATCCCCATGGTCCTCGGCGCGGGCTGGCAGTACATCTCCGCGGACCTCGCGGACCTCACGGCCAAGGCCTTCGGCGTGGCCTACTTCTCCACGATCCAGGTCCGCGTCAACTCGAGCTGCCGCCTCTTCCGCCTCTACTTCGCCGGCCGCGAGTACGCGGACATCGAGCTCCCGCCGTTCCTGCGCCTCCTCCAGGAGTAGGGCGGCGCGGGTCTCGATCGTTTTGGGGGGGGGTCCTGGTCGAGGCGTCGGAGGCGGCCGTGCGCGGCGCCACGGTCGAGGTCCTCGAGGAGGCCTCTCGACCGTCGACCAGCAGCAGGCTCTCCGTGTAAAACTCCGACCAGGCTTCGCGCTCCCACGCGGCCTGCTCCCGGACGACAGTCCGCGTCCCCGCGGGCGAGACGGCCCTAAGCGTCCGCGTGGGCCGCGCTCAGCTGCCTTTCCGCGCGCCGCGCCGCGCCGCGGCTGGGACGTTCCGTAGGTGGCTACGTAGGTGCCTACGCGCCTACGTAGCCTCGACTCGAGCCTACGGACCTACGTAGGCTCCCACTGGGGGGCTGTCCGTTGGGAGCCTACAACGGACCGCGTAGGTACCTACGAGCCTACGTAGCCTCGGCCGGTGCCTACGAGCCTACGACCTACGGAACGTCCCTGGCCGCGCGCCTAAGCTTGTATGACATCGCACGCGGTCGCCGCGACTCGAGGAAGATCGGGGCTCGACGGCGAACGAAAATTCGCGAAGAAGCCTCCGGTGAGGCTTGTGTGCCCAGACTCTGACGTGGGCGTCTCCGAGGAGGCCTCCGAGGCTGCATGCGCGAGGCTAGGCCGGCCTGAGGCTTGAGCGAGATGACCCGTCGTTAGTGTTGTGCACACTCACAACATTCCGACTCGAAGAACGTCGAGCTCAAAGCGCAAATTGCCCCGCCGCTCGCCCCCCACGCTCGCCCCGACGCACGCAGATCAGAGTGAGACTGCGTTACGGGTATCCTAGGGGTATCCTGGCTCCTCTGCTCCCCCGCCGCGGCCGGAAAGGCGGAGCGGGGACTGCGAAGCCAGGCCGGGGAATGAGAGTGTGCACGCCGCAGCGTGCAGGGAGGCGGGCGGGTGCCACGGCACCGTGCCGGGGAGGAACGGCGGTGCGGCGTGCCTTGCGGGCACGCCGTGTTGAGGCCGAAGAGCCACCGGCCGAGAACCGCAGGGCAAGCCGGCTCAGCTGCGCAGCCGGAAGAACAGCGCGCTGTGAGTGTGCAGGTCGGGTTCGAGACCAGGTTCGCGTGCTCACCCGACTCTCACCCAGCTCCCGGTCGTGGCCGGCCGCCACGCCCGACTCGCTGCGGGGGAGCAGAGAGGTTCCCCCAACGTTCCCCCAGCCGGGACGTTTCACCTGACTTGCGGTCAGGCATTTTCGCGCTACAGAGAGCGTTTAGCGCATAGGAGATGGTAACATTTCCCAACCACCTAGGAGGCGGTTCACTGCATCATTGCCCGTGTGAAGCCGTAGACGGCCCGGTTTGTGCGCTCCGCGGCCTCACAAGGCCGGCCCTGCGCATGCCTTCACTTCTGCGCCCGCCGCGACTCGATTCGAGGAGATAGCGGAGCGAACGAAAATTGCATACCTAGGTGCGCTTCCAGATGGCGGAAGCGCTCGGAGTCGGACCACGAGCCGGACTCCAGTGACTACCAGGTCCCGGGAGCGCGCGGCGCGCGCGGTCGAACTCGGCGGCGTCGTCGTCGTCGTCGTCGTCGTCGTCGTCGTCGTAGCGGCGCGGCACCCAGTCGTAGGGCCAGGTCTACAGGGGTCCACCGCACGCGCCTCCCAGTGCCGAAACCAAAATAAAATCCGAATAGTCCTGGGTCAAAAAGTTTGCACGATCAGTGCAATGTTGAAGTTGCCTCTCTACGTTTCCCCGCCTGAAACACGTCGGAATCGATGCGATTATACAATTTAACGAGCCGTGGTTGACTCAGTATGATATATTCGACCGATTTTGCCTAGGGTCGAACCAAATTGAAGTTCACCGGACCACGCGCGCGCGCGGTCTACGTACAGAGTAGTAACGCGTCCCGCCTCAGAATAATAAATAATACTTCTATTGGGGGGTCCTACGCCTATGGTTGGTTTCGGCACTGGCGCCTCCGGCATCGTTCACGGTAGCCTTCAAAGCCTCCTGAACAAGCCCTCCTCAAAATCGGAGGCTCATTCGCCAACCGCTGCGCATGATGAGGCCCGCCGCGGCGCTCCTGTGCGTCCTCGCCGGCGCCGCGGCGCTCTCGCGGCGCGGCGTCGACCCGGTCGCCGCGCCGCGCGGCGGCGGGGGCGGCGACGACGGCGGCTACTACGCGGCCCTGGGCGTGTCCCGCGACGCGAGCGCCGGCGACATCGCGCGGGCCTACCGGCGCCGGTCGCTGGCGTGCCACCCGGACAAGGGCGGCGACGCGGAGCAGTTCAAGAAGCTCAACGAGGCCAAGGAGGTGCTGGGCGACGCGGAGAAGCGGCGGGCCTACGACCGCTTCGGCGTCGCGGGCGTCGACCCGCGCGCGGCGCCGGGCGGCGGCGGCTTCGGCGGCGCGGGCAACGTCGACGCGCGGACGGCGGCCATGTTCGAGCAGATGTTCGGCTCCTTCGGCAGCGCCTTCGGCGAGGCCTTCGGGGGCGGCGGCGGCGTCTTCGGCGGCGGCGGCTTCGGCCGGGGCCCGCGGAGCCGGCGCTTCGCGATCACGGTGAGCCTGGACGACTGCTACGCCGGGCGCACACTGAGCGTCGCGCTCGACGACGGGTCGCGGTGCCGCGTGCGCCTGCAGCCCGGCGCGGCCGGGGGCGACGTCGTCCGCGCGCGGACCGACGGCGGCGCGTCCGCGACGTTCGAGCTGCGCGAGGCGCCGCACGCGCGGTTCCGGCGCCGCGGCGCGGACCTGCTCCTCGACGCCACCGTGCCCCTCGCCGAGGCCCTGGGCGGCGGGCCCGTCGTCCGCGTCGAGCGGCCCGACGGCACGACGTTCGCGCTCGCGCTCGCGCCGGCGGGCGCCGTGCTCAAGCACGGGTCGCTCCGCGCCGTCGAGGGCGAGGGCATGCCCGTGCGCGGGGCGCCGAGCCGGCGCGGCACGCTCTTCGTGCGCGTCCTCGTCGCCTTCCCCGCGGACCTCGCGCTCGACGACCGCGAGCGCGCGCAGCTCGCGCGGCTCCTGGGCGTGCCGCGCGAGGGCGCGCCGGCGCCGCGCGCGGGCGACCGCGTCGCGCGGGGCGCCGACGCCGCCGAGTGGGGCAGGCACCGCCCGCCGCCGGGCGGCGGCGGCGCCTTCGCGGCCTTTCGATAATCCCCGACTGTGGCCCGCCCCGGCAATTCCGGCCGCGCCCGCGCGAGCCCGCTGGGGCCGCGACCGGCGGCGCGGCGGCCCGCGAGCGAGGCGAGGCGCGGGCTCCATCGCGCGGGGCATCTACGTGTTGCTCACGTTGACTAAGTCGTTGACTTCAGCGTCGTATACATATCCGAAACTCGCCGGGGCTCCATGATGGTCCCGCGGCCCCTGCCCCCTCAGCGCCCGGGAGCGCGAGCTCCTCGGGCTCCACCCCGAGCTCCAGTCCCTCGCCTCGCGGGCGACGCAGCTGCGGGCCCAGGTCGAGCAGCAACGGGCGGCGATGCTCGGCGCGGAGGCGGCGCGGGCCTCGTCCTCGAGCGTCGCGGCCGCCGCCGCCGAGCTGCGGTCCGAGATGCGCGCCGTGCGGCTCGCGCAGGACGACGCGGGCGAGCGGCTCCGGCGCCTCCGAGACGCGCGCAAGCCGGACGGCGAGCTCCGCGCGCCGCGGCCGCGGCCGCCGCCGCCGCGGCCTCCCCCGCCCGCCGACGCCGTCGTCGCGCTGGGCCGGACGCGGGCGCGCATCGACGCGGCGCTCGCGGCGTCGCGGGCGCGGCCGCGCGCGTCGCGGCTCCGGGGCCTCCTCGCGGCCGCGCTCGCGGACGCGCCCGCCGCGCCCGCGGCCGCGTTCGCGCCCGCCGCGGTCCTCGGCGCGCTCCGCCGGCACCGCCCCGCCGGCGGCGCCGAGGAGGTCTGCGCGATCTGCCTCGCGGGGATCGAGGCGACGGGCCCGCCCGCGGTGGCGCTCCCCTGCGGGGGCGCCGCGACCCACGCGTTCCACGAGGACTGCGTCGCGCGGCTCCTCCGGGCCGCCGCGGCCGCGCGCGCGCGGCCGACGTGCCCGACGTGCCGCCGGGGCATTATCGTAACGACGTGACGCCCCGGCGGGGCCCCCTTACCCGGCGCGCTCACCAGGCGCCGTCGCCCGGCCGGGGCGCGGGCGCGTCGCCGCCGCGTCGGCCCGGCGGGACGTAGCGCGCGGGCGCCGCGTCGCGGAGCATGTCCGCGCGGGACTTGGGCGCGTCCGGCGGCGGCGCGGCGGCGGCGCGCGGCGCGGGCGGCGGCGGCGGCGCCTGGTCGAGGCGGAACGACGGCGGCGCCGGCGCGGGCGGCGCCGGCGCGAGCTTCGGCGACGTCCGCGGCGACGCGCCCTTCCTCCGCGCGCCGTCGTCGAGCTGCATCTGCTTCCGCAGGTCCATCTTGAAGTTGAGGATGTCGCCCGTGTACTTGGAGACGCCCTTGTCGATGATCCAGATCTCCTCGGCGACCTGGGAGATGAGGCGCATGTCGTGCGACACGAGGACGACGCCGCCGCTGAAGTGCTTGATCGCGTCCGCGAGGGAGTCGATCATCTCCATGTCGAGCGCGTTCGTCGGCTCGTCGAGGAGCAGGAGGTGGGCCGACTCCTTGGCCATCTTGCAGAAGACGACCTTGGCCTTCTGGCCCTCGGAGAGCTGGCTCATGACCTGCATCTGGACGACGCCGGACGTGCCGTAGCGGCCGAGCCACTTCCGCGCGTCCTCGCGCGTGAGCTCCGTGTAGAGCCCCATGAACCAGTCGAGGGGCGTCATCGTGAGGTCGAGGATGTCCTCGAAGTGCTGCGTGAACTTGGACATCTTCAGGTGGCCGTGGGGCCGGACCTGGCCGAGGCGCGGCGTGAGCTCGCCGTTGATGATCTTCACGAGCGTCGACTTGCCCGCGCCGTTGGGCCCGACGAGCGCGATGCGCGAGTCGAGGTCCAGGCCGAACTCGACGCCCTCGTAGAGCGCCGGGCAGCCCGGGTAGCCGAAGGTCAGGTCGTTGACCTGGAGCACCGGCGGCGGGATGTGGCCCGGGTCCGGGAAGCGGAACTTGAGGCTCATCTCCTCGACGGGCTTCTCCGTGAGCCCGGACGCGAGCTTCTTCGTCAGCAGCTTCTCCTTGGACTTGCCCTGCTTGGCCATCTTCGAGTTGCCGTGGCCGAACTTGGCGACGTACTCCTTCATGGCCTTGATGTCGGCCTGCTCCGCGTCGTACTTCTTCAGCTGCTCGACGGCGGCGTCGCGCCGCGTCTCGACGAACATGTCGTAGTTGCCGCGGTAGTAGGCGAGGCGCCGGTGGGCCGCGTCGAGGTGGACGACGTGCGTGCAGACGTTGTTGAGGAAGTCCTGGCTGTGGCAGACCATGAAGAGCATCTTCGTCCACCGCGAGAGGTAGTCCTCGAGCCAGACGACGGCCTCCATGTCGAGGTGGTTCGTCGGCTCGTCGAGGAGCAGGAGCGCGGGCTGGATGAAGAGCGCGCGCGCGAGCGCGACGCGCATGCGCCAGCCGCCCGAGAAGTCCCGCGTCTTCTGCTGCTGCCGCTCCGGCGAGAAGCCGAGGCCCGTGAGGATGGCGCACGCGCGCGTCTCCGCCGTCGCGCTGTCGAGCTCCTCGAGGCGCTCGTAGAGCACCGTGAGCCGCTCCGTCGCGTCCTCGGCGGCCTCGTCGTCGTCGGCCTCGGCGAGCTCGGCCATGGCGTCGTTGAGCTCGTCGATCTCGCGCTCGACGGCCGCGCGCTCCGCGTCGACCTTCATGACGGCGTAGAGCGCCGTCTCCTCCGTCGCCGGGTACTCCGTCGTGAGGTGGTAGATGTCGATGGACTCGGGGATGGGGATCGCGCGCGCGCCGACGGCGCGCATGAGCGTCGACTTGCCGCTGCCGTTGCGGCCGATGAAGCCGTAGCGGTTGCCCCAGTTGAGCACGAAGTCCGTGCCCTCGAGGATGGGCGCCCCGTGGAAGGTCACCGTCAGGTTGGACACGTTGATGTCCTTGCAGTTGCGGTGCTTCTTCACGGGCGGCGCGGCGAACGTCGCGACGACGCCGCTCGCCGCGAGGCGGTCCGCGGCGGCGCCGTCGTCGGCCTTGGAGACGGCGCCCATGGCCTCGGCGACCATGGCGTCCGACGCGCCCCGCGTCTCCGCGGCGGCGGCGGCGGCCGACTGCCGGAGCCGCGCGTCGAAGGCCTCCTTCGCCGCGGCCTCGACGGCGGCCTTGGACGCCGCGTCGAGCGTCACGGCCTCGACGTTGAAGCGGCGCACCGCCTCGCACTCGGCCTCCCAGGCGCGGACCGCGAGGAGGCGGCCGCGGACCGCGACGAAGCGCCGCGCGCACGCGCGCGGCGACCGGCCGACGGCGTCGCCGACGGCCCGCCAGCGCGCCGCGAGCTCGAGCGCGGCGCCGAAGGCCCGCACGGCGCCGTCGAGCGACGCCTGCGCGGCGTCGTCCCAGGACGGGTCGTCGAGGGGCGCCGGCGCCGGCGGCAGCTCCTTCTTCTCGATGACCTCGCAGGCGGCCTTCTTCTCCGCCTTGATCGCCTTCTTGGCCGCGCGCGCCTCCTTGAGCGCCGCCTTCTTCGCGTCCTTCTCCGCCTTCTTCGCCGCCGCCTTCTCCGCGGCGTCGCGCTTCTCCTGGGCCTTGCCCATCGATGCTCCTCGCTCACGGGCCGCGGGGGCGGCAAGGTCGCGTAGGGGTCGACCGCGCCGTCCTCGGACCGCTTGGACCGCTTCGCGGGCGTGAACTTACACGGGCGGCGACCGGATGCGGGCGCCGCCGACTCGCGCCGACCCGGAGAGCGATTTGCAAAGGGGTTGGGCACCGGCCTGGTTGAACCCATGATGCTTTCCATATATATATGCGTGAGTTGTGCGTGCCGGTTCCCCCGCCGTACGGAAATTAAATGGCTGTCGTCGCCCGAAGGGCGCGAAGCGCAACCCGCGGCGGTGCCGGCACGGTGCCCACAGGATTCTGTGGTCGTCGTCGCCGTTGGCTGTGCACTTTAAGATGCTGTTCTCGGCTTATCAGCGGAAGCATCGCCGGGACATGGTTTGAACCTTCCCGCCGGCGACCCGCGCGCTGCCCCGCGCGCGCCCGCGCGCGCATGGCGCGCACGAAAAGGGGCCGCGGAGCGCGGGGGGCTGCCACGCCCCCCGCGACGTAAATTAAATGGCTGTCATCGCGCGAGCGGTGCAGAGGGAAGCATTGACACGGGAATGAGTGGCTCAGCACGCGCGAGCGCGCCCGAAGGGCGCGCTCTCGCCGCGCCGCAGGCAAGCCCCCCCGGCAGGGGCAAGTAAGCCGTAGGCGTCTTGTTTAAATAATCCCTATGCCGGCAGCGGCGGCGTGGGCTCGCCCTCCTTCTGCTCGCCGCCCTCGCCCTCGTCGTCGTCGTCGTCGTCGTCGGAGTCGTCCTTCTTCTTCGGCGCCTTGGCCTTGGCCTGGGCCGCGAGGAAGTCGAGGTCCACCGCCGGGTGGCCGAAGCCGCAGGCCGCGAAGTAGCGCTCGACGAAGGCCTCGACGGGGCTCCGCGGCGGCGGCTCGCCCTCGCGCTCCGTGTACTCGGCGATGCGCATGTGGTGGGCGACGTTCTCCATGACCTTGACCCA